AAAAAAAAAAAAAAAAAAAATCCGTGCTCAGGGAGGAAAGGAAGCATTCTGTGGTGTGGGCAGCGTTGTTCCTATACACAGATGAGGAGAGACAGTCTTCAGATTGCTTAACAACATGCCCAGGGACGCACAGCTCACAGGTGACAGACTCATACCTTATACTCAGATCTGACTAGTTCCAAGTCTCAGGCTCTCTAAGAGCGAGTGTCTGCCCGTTCTAAAAATCAGGGGATTGTCTTCCTCTTCAGTCCTTTAGGCTGACTATTCTTTCCTACCAGGATCTATTCCTCCCACTTGAGATTTTAAAAAGTGTTAAATCTCCCAGTTTCCACTGAAAATATCATGGTGATTTCTTGACTGTGAGCTATATTACCGAAGCTACAGATAGTCATTTCCTTTAAGTTCCTGGAAATAGAATTATAAAGAATAGCTTTCCATTTTTCTGAGAATGTCCTCATGAAGCGTGTCCCCATTGGGGAAAGCCAAACTTGAGAAAAACTAAGACACAATATTTCACCATCCCAGAGGGGCGCATGGTCTTGCTTGCCTCCTCTTTTAAAAAATTATTACTTGTATACCTATTTTTCCCTTTTCTTTCAGTGCCACATGTCAGATGAACAGAAACCCGGACCCCTTCACAGTCTGGTCCTTTCCAGTCTCTGTCTGACTTGACACACTGCCCAGACACCAGATTCCTCTGGTTGACACATTTTGCTGGATCTCTGCTAGACTGTTGTGCTCACTAAGTACTAGCACCCCAGGAAAAACTAGGTTGTCAGACTTGTAATCCCCACTGCAAGCTACAGTGTATCAATCCCACCCTGCTTAGGGTATTCTGAGTTTTTACAGTGACAGAAATGCTTGGATATATGTTTAAGGAAGTATGGAAGGGAAGAAGGATGTGAAAGAGGTCCCAAAAGAGATGCCAGAGAGTTCAAAACTCTCCACAAGCTCTCAGATGGCACAGTCTATGGCTGCAGCCGCCTCTCCCAGGGATGGGCTCTTTCCCCAGATATCCTGCTGATCAACTTTAGGGAGTAAACTGTGGGCAGAACTGAGATTTCTCTGTCTTCTCAGTGGTAAAACAAAACACATTCTTCCTACTGAGCTGCCTCTGAAAGCCTTTCTTAGGTTAGGACAGTTACCACTCAGAGGTCTGTTTTTTGAGATGAGTGCCTTCCAAACTTTCCTGGGTACCTCACGCCCTTTAGGATCTTGTTAAAATACAGATTCTGACTCAGGAGGGTTGGGTGATGCTGCTCGCCCATGGACTACGCACTGAGTAGCCAGAAGTGAGTTGCATTTAATATCACGACTCTTGGGGCTCTGAGCTTTGATGTTCACAACTGTGCATGAAATGGAAACATGGAAGTTGAGGGACTTCTAGAAGAGGTGAGTTCTCACTATGTGGTCCACATTCCCCAGCTCGAGGGGGCACTTGAACTCGAGAGCTGTGAGTACAAAATGTCACTGCTGGAGACAAAGAGCCAGATAATCAATGTGTGTGTGTGGGGGAAACACCCTTGTGAGCTTACAGGAAAAAGGCTCCAGCACCACGTCAAATGTCTCGTTCTTGAATTCGGTCTTGGCGACCCCAGTGTAGAAGGTTATGTTCCCCGAGAGGTAGGCTGTGATGTTGTAGTGGTTGGGGCTGTTGCTCTGGAAAGTGACGGTGACCTTGAAGTCCTTCCCCAGCACGGCATTTTCCACTTGAAAGTCCATGTCCACATTTGACCTTGATTTGAAAATGCCTTCTGTTTTGATGTCCTTTTTTGCTCCGTACATGAGGGCAGTTTCTAGGGCCAATCTCTCTTCTTCCTGACCTAGAAGAGACCCAGAGATAATGACAGGGAGAATGAAACACAGCACCCAAGAGAACACACTTCCTAAACACAGCGTGCGTGCTGTCCTTGCTGGACAGCCTCTGTAAGCCCCACACTCCCCTTGGAAGCAGGGGCAGTCACACCTGTTATCAGTCCTGAAAATCCAGGCTTGCAGAGAGTCATGACCCGTGCCAGATGCCCATTCAGTAGGCGGCTGTGCCACCGTCTATCAGGGAAGAGGATGACTGAAGGGGTAGCTCTAAGGGTTGTCTCTCCAGGGCAGTTATTCCAGGCCAGGTAGAATGGAATCATCTAACTCTTCTCAAACTGTGTTGTATATCTGTGTCCCTTCCCAAATCCAAGCCACACAGCTGGGATTTGAGGTTCTCTAAGGACACATGCTGGAAATAGCTGTGTCCTGTCACTCTACCTTCGGCAGTGTCAGTTTTCTCTGACTTGTAAGTCCTTCCCCCACCCCCAGACAAGACCTGCTTCCTCATTCCCCCTTCCTGGGTGTACCCAACTGTTTCTTCCTGTGCCGACCCTAGAAAGCTCCTGCTCTGCCCTTTTCCACCTTCCTCATTGGCCGTGGCTCCTGGTAGAATGCAGGGAATGCTTTTTCCCGAGTTGCCTGTGGCCCCAGCACGCTGGGCTCTGGTGAGTTGTTGACCAGCCTTTCCTAGCCAAGGGTTCCTCCACGTTGTCTCGAACCTCCTGTGTCCGCACAGCCTTCTTTAGCCTATCAGAGGTCCTGAGACAGAACCCTCCGGCAAACAGGGCTCACAAGATGCATTCAACCATGAACGTTTTTGATTTAATTTTATTTTTTTGGTGGTTCTAGAGATTAAATGCAGGCCCTTCATACTGAGCTACATCCTCAGCCCCAGCTTTTATTTGGAGGCAGAGTCTTGCTAAGTTGCTAAACTGCCCAGTCTGGGCTCAAATTTGTGATCCTCCTGCCTCAGCCTTCCAGAGTGCTGGGATTAGGGGCACATGTCATCATGCTTGCCTGAAGAGCTTTTGAGGGCCCCCTATTGGTACATGGTGCTCCACTGAAGTTCTAACGCAGATTTAGATGTGGGTGTTATTTTGAGGAATGTGTCCCGTGGAATGTTTCTAAGGTTGTGGTGGAGATGCAGGAAAGCAGAGATGAAGGACATTTTGCCATGGAAGAAGAAAAAGATAGCTTTGTGTAGATGCAGAAGCAAGAAATGCAGGTTTTATTTTGGGCCTAGAGGGTGCTTTTGCCTCAGATGCTGATGTGCCAGGTTAATGGTTCTTAGGGTTTTGGATGCAATGCTGGCTTCTTGGAGGGCCCTGTGGAGGTGCAGAGGCATGGTTGCCATTCTTTTTCCTACATAAATACCTTTGTGTATACCCTCATGCACTGTGGAGAGCGGAGATGAAAACATGAAAGCAAATTCCTTGGTTTGTAAAAAATACTAATGAGGAAGGCTAGTGGGAAAAAGATTAGTTCAAAATAAGAATGCTGGCTTTTATAATTATGTTAATTCAAAGATATTATCTTCTACTTCGCCTAGTTAATAATTGAATGCAGTGATGGTGAAAAAGACAATTAATCATAATAACTACCATTTAGCACTAATTATATGCCAGGCATTGGGATCAATGCTTGTGCATTATTTCATCTAACCCTCATAACAATCTACCAGTGAAACACTGTTAATAGCACCTATAAAATAAGGGGAACAACTTTGTGTGGTTGTTTGGTGGACTGGAGGGAGAAGGTGTACAGTAAGTTGGAACCACTCTGGGAGGTCAAAGAAAATGCCAGCTGGCATTGCCTATGAGCGTGAGTGTGTGTGCATTAACAGTTTCCCTGATTGTCAAGACTGCAAGAAGAGGCCAGAAGCTATTGGTCCAGGGCAAGCATTGGTGAGAGCACGTGCTTACAGATCAATAGGAGGGAGCTGGGATGAAGGGAAGGAGGGGTGAGGAACCTGAAAATGTGGGAGGTGTTTTTTTTTTTTTTTTTTTTTTTTTTTTTTTTTTTTTTAAGGATAAAAGGAGGGAAACATTAACAGACATACAACATTTTACAACATATCACAAGCACAATACAGACAATACAGAGTTACAAACAAAGTGGTAGGGAATTAACAATGGTGGTTGTATTACATATTGATATCTTCAAAGTGGCTTCTCATGAAAACAGATATAGACATGCAATACTGGTCAACCAAAGACTCATTGACAGTTTCTTTCAGCATAGAAACAGCAGATGGAAGAACAACCATGTTATCTATCCTGTATATACATACATACAAAATTTTTCCTTCTTTCCCTTCTCTTTTCCCACATCCCAGAAGCCCTTTACTCTTCGGTGGTTTCCTATCATTTCACAGTGTCTATCATACCTCCGAGTTTAACTTAACTCTTTCAAGTTTTACACTAGTGACACAATGCGGTGCTTGCACATGTATGTTTGATTTATTTCACTTATGAGTATGGTCTCTAGTTGTGACCATTTAAATATAAAGGCCTCGAGTTTATCTTTCTTTACAGCTGAGTAATATTCCATTATATAAAAGTACCATAATTTTCTTATCCAATCCTCGGTGGATGGACATTTGGGTTGCTTCCACATTTTAGCAATTACAAATTGTGCTGCTATGAACATAGGTGCACATATATCACTGTGATATGATGTTTTTAGATCTTCTGGGAAAATACCCAGCAGGGGGATAGCTGGGTTGAATGGGACCTCTAAACCTAGTTTTCGGAGGAATCTCCAAACTGATTTCCACAGTGGTTTCACCAGTCTGCATTCCCACCAGCAGTGGAGAAGGGTTCCTATTTCTGTGGGAGGTGTTTTAGCAGAAATCATGGGGCAGACACATCCAGGAGAGAGAGGGCATTAACGATTATTACTTTGGATGGAGGCCAAATATGCATTTAGCCAAAATGCAGGAGGCAAATTCGAGCAACAGGAATTTGATCAAAGAGGTGCTGCCTGGGGAAGAGGATCTGAGCTGGCCCAGAAGGGAACTGGCAGAGAAAGACCTGTGCAGAGCTATGAATGACTTGATATTGGCTGGGGATGGCGGATAGTGGAGGTTTGAACTTCCTTCTGGGGAAGCATCTGCCCCCGGCCCAGGCCCTGCCAGGCTAATGTGGCTGGGGCTATTTCAGGAAGCTCAGGCCCCGTAGGAGAGAATTGCAAGGGTTCCTGGAGCCCAGCAGAGTCATTCCCGTCTCTCTATACTTATGCTCTGAGCTCTGGCGTCTTACATAATTCGGGGCTATGAGCAACGTTGAGATAATCTAAAGCCAGACTGTATTTTCTTAGATTCCTCAGTAGCCTCCAGGAGCAAGACTGAAAACATCTTCCTGTCAGCTAGGATGTAATAGGAAAGCATTTTGTGCTGGGTAAAGAGCTCTTATTGTCCTAAGCTCTGACATCATCCCCTGATTCCCCACCCCTCTTGCCCTGTGTAACATGACCTCAAACCCTAGTCCTTCAATCTCTCATCACACTTTTTTGGTTTTCTTTCCTCTCCCTTGTCACAGTGCTCCCTATGTGACATTACCTACCCATCTGGAACACAGGTTTCAGCAAGTAGGGGTACAGGTCTGCCTTTTCTACATATGTGTCTCTAGAACCTGGGACTTGGCTTCCTGGAGGCTCTGAGGGATTGAGATTTGTAGGACCATGCTTTCAACCAGAAACACAACTTTCACCTTTACCATAGGTGCTACATAACCCAGCTCAAATCATTTTACATTCAGTTCAGACCAGCTGTGCAAGTGCTACCTCATCATGCTATTGGAGCCCCTAATGCTTCAGGTGCTGCACTAGGTATGGATGAGAAACACAATCTTTTCTGGTGAGTACAGAGGGGCAGGTGAAGAACAATCATGGTGAAGAGGTCTGCATCACAGATGCTGGGACAGATGCTGGCACATGATGCAGTACCAGCACTGAACATGTGGAAGGGACCATTAGCCTCCTTAGGGAGCCTTCTTGGAGGTTTTGTGCACAGTGAGCAAACACAGGGAGGCCAGAGAGGGCAGGTCTCAGTTCACCTGCCTGCTGGATGTGGCAGCTGTGGGATGAGGTCAGGATCTGCAGCAGTGATGTTGGGGGTCAGTCAGAGGGTTTGGAGGTTGCAATTTGAATGTTCTGGAAGCAGCAGTTAGAGCAAGGCTTTAAGCAGTTCTGCAATAGACTTGGGCTTCCGTGTGAGGTAATATCAAGTACACAGCATGGCAGAGGTCAGACTGGGGGAAGGAGGATGAGGCAGTCAGAGGAGGAATCAAGCAGTTGCTTTTCCAGGAAATATAATGATAGTCCAAACTAATTGCATGCCAAAATAGCAGAATCACTAATAGAAGTGGAAACTCACTTCTAGAGGAACCTTAACCTGTGTTGGGTCCTATTTTGAGGGTTTTATATACCTGATCTTATTTAATTCTCTGAGTGAGACCACGCAGCCAGGGGGGAAGGACACCAATTTCAGAGGGGATGTGTGGAAGATCTGCTGCCTGATTGATTCCCTGGCTGCTCAGTTTGGGTGAGGGTGGTTGTCTTCACTAGGATAGGGAGTGCAGGAGGAACTGTATCTGGGATGGAGCGGGTGAGAGAAAGCAGGCATGGGGAAGATTCAGTTTCAGGCTTCCATGGGACCCTTAGGTCAAGACTGGGTTGGTGCAGACTTGGGAGTGATCTGCATATTCATATAGTAGCCAATGTTAGCAGCAGCTATGGAGGAAGTCATACAGTAGGTGTGAATGGAGCCCAAGAAGTGCAGGGTGGGATCAAGCAGCATTCAGAAAGGAGCAAAGAAAGCAAGCTGACAGTTTGAAAAGGAGATGGGAACACAAAGGGAGGGACAGAGGGGGCTGTGGCATGGAGAAATAATGTTACAGAAACAAAAAGAATTTCAAGAAAGGGGCATGAATAAGACCATCAGAAAGTACAGGTGGGTTAAGCGACGTGGAGCCTTTAAAATGCTCATTTCACACACAACAAGTGGTCTTGCGCCTGCTGAAATACAGCATCAAAGAAGCTGGTAGCAAAAACCATGGGCAAAGAATGACCAGGGAAGGAACAGATGGGTTGTAGTCCAGGCAGCTCCTTCGGGAGGAACACAGAGAGGGCACTCTGACAGGGAATACACGCTGAAGGTTATTGTAAGTTTTTTTAATGCAAGAGACACTGAAGTGTTAATTGAAAGAGCAAATAGCAAGGAGAGATGCAAATACACTTGATAGGGGGAAAATCTGATGGGGCAAAGATGGAATGGGGTGGAGACCCCATCGTACAAGAAGGTCTACTGCCACGGTAGAAGTTTTCAGGATTCTGGTTTTCGCAGCTTTATAGTTTCTTCATCTTATACTTGTAAAAATGTTATAAAATTGATCCTTAGCTTTAGTGAGCTAAAGTGAAAAATTATCCTTCCACAATTTAATTAATTAACATAGTTAACTCCTAAATCTGATCATCATCTCTTTTCTGCATTTTTACTCATTTTCGTACTTGAGAGTCTACACCCAGCACCTGGAGAATCAGAGGAATTATACGAGAGGGTCACCGTGAGAACCACGGTGGTAGATAATGCAGCCACAGATGCTGCCAGCCCTCTGCCTGCAGCGGACATCTCACTACCATACTGAGATGGAGTATCTATCTTTTCTCAAATAGCACTCCCTCTGGTCATTTCCAAGTCAGAATTTGAGATGCACATGTTCTCCGTGATTAAAAAGCTATCCACCTGGGATCAATCTCCAGAATACGATGGGGAGCCTCTTACTGTGTGAACCCGGGAGTTCCTCTAGTTGGGTCTCCCCAAGCTTGGCCCTCTTGCCACATCCTGGAGGACTGGGCCTCAGAAGTCTTCCTCGTGAAAGTTAGAGTGTTTTGTTTGTTTTAGTTTTTGTCTGTCCGTGGCCAAGCTCCAAAGTCCTCTTTTGCAGACTGGTTTCTGATCTTTCCCCTCTTGCATCTGATCATGTGCAGTTTCTGATTTAGTCTCCACTGTCACGTGTGAGGGTGACAGTTTGTGGCAGCTGCGTTCTGCCGCATGCTTTTGACAAGATATCTGGCTGCACGGCCCACTGACTGCTGCTCCTGGCCACCCCTGTTTTTCACTCTCCTGTCTGCTCAGGCCTTAAGTCTTCCAAGGAAGGAGAGTTCACACTGCAGCCCCCTGCTTTGGTCCTTTTCCTGGAGACTCTTATCCCCAGCGTCTCCTTCTAATTCTGACTTATTCTTCAAACTCAGGGCTCTGACCACTGCTCTGTGGGTGGTGCCCATCCAGTGTTAAACAAATGGACAAATCACATGACCTCATTGGAGGATGAAGCAAGCCCTGAGATGGGAACAAATGAACTGGCCCTTCTGACATGGTGGCACCCTGTGTATGTACTATGGTACTGTGGGACCACAAGGTCCTCTCTGATTGGAGTCTGGGCTGGGAATCCTTCCACATGCCATGCAGCATCTGCCTACCCTGTATCAAAGCAATCCTCAGCGCAGATGACCATGGCTTTGTTCTGACTTTCTTGGTAGCTACATGGGAAGGCTGTGCTGTTTGTGTCTCCACCTGCACATGGCACTTAGAGCATAGCAGGTGGCTAAGAGCGAGCTGTTGAATGGATAAATGGGTGAATGTATAGATGGAAGACTGTTGTGGCTAGTTTCTTTCACATTTTCTATGGAGTTTCCTCTTCCCTTTTCCAAATACTTTTGTTGCAACTCCAGTGTACGAGGTCATTGCTTGTTTGTTTTGTTTTTAGTGTGCTTTATTTTAGCCTTTAAATTCCATTTTAGGAAAATGCCAAAAAGAAAGAAAGAAAAAGAACCCTTTTGTTGTGCAGTGGATAATAACCAAATGAAGGAAAGAATAAACCTTTTCAAAGATACAATAAAAATTCACTAGATCAGATGGCAAAAATCTGAATGTCTAGCACTATACACGCGCATTCTCTATTCAGTAAGCTTTTTCTTTATAGTGCAAATTGCTTTTGTAAATAAGAGCAGGGAGAGTGTCTAAAATGTTTAAAACAAATCTGGTACTCTTTAGCATTTTAGGAATACTGTTGAATATTTAGGTATATGCTAATTACTTATCATTTTTATTCATTCACTAAAATAAATGTAGCTCCCAAGAACTTCTAGAGGCAAATGATTTGCAAAATACATTCCGTGTTACCCATCAAGACAACCAGCATCCTCATTTCCTGGCTGGTGTTGACCTTGGGCAGTTCTGAATCCAGCCACTGGACATTCTGAACTTGATGCCTTATTAAGTTTTCAAGGACTCTAATCTAAATACACGACAGGATTCTTTCATACCTCCTACCCTTGGCTATACAGAAACTCCTGTTCAGCTTTCATTCACTGAGGTCTGTGACTTTTTCTTACTGGGTTTTGCTTTTTCTAAATCTCTTGTTTGAACCCAATGTCTCCCACCTTTGTTCCCAAAGGTGCCTGAACATAAGTATCCTATCAGCCACTACCTGCTCACAACTGGGATCTCCTGCACTAGACCAATTGCATGCATGGGGTCGACACTCAATATAGATTGAAATGCAACTGAACTTAGTAGTGGCATTTGAAACATTTTATATAATAAGAGTTAACAACAAACCACCATAACATTATTTTATAACTGAAATTGGCCTTCCACCTAAGTGGTCTGAGTTAGTGAGTGAGATTACACTTTCCTATTAATATTGCATTACCAATGTCACAAAGTTTCCATGACAATTCAGTGGAATAATGTACTAAATATAATTTGTAAAGTACTAAACACATGAAGTATTTGTTTGCATTTGTAAACTAAAATCATGTTAGTTGTAGATACTTTCTAATAGGATTACTTAAAATTAAGGTTCTTGAGATCAAGAACAGAGTCTACATTTTGTTTAAATAGATTTGATTTTAGACTAACCAACTTCATGAATCATGAGGAAGGAAATTCTGCTCAAAGCACACACAGAAACAAAACTATATGGAAAAATTGTGGATGCAATGTTTTTTTCACTTATGGGAGTACTGCCCTAACAAACCAGGTAGGGTGGAATGCTGGAAGTGTTACATATTCTCTGGGACCTACTCCAAGGTAACAGTGAACAAGTACCAAATAGACTCAGATTCAAAACAAAGTGCATTCATTTGTAGCAAATTACCTTCTTGGAATTTGTAAGTATCAGTAATATCCTGTATTCCATCTCCTCCAATTTGTTTGGTCACAATTAATTTCCCAATGTGGGTGGTATCCACTCCTTCTACCACATGAGTGCCATCTTTCTTAGCTGTAATGTAGATAAGATCACTGTTGACCTGCAAACAAGAAAGCAGAGCCTTAGCCATCATCAAATTCACCACATGTCATGGTTCCAACTGCAGCACTCTTCATAGTAGCTAAAATATGGAATCAACCCAAATGGCCATCAGTGGATGAATGGACAAAGGAAATAGAATATATATATATATATATATATATATATATATATATATATATTGCAGTCATAAAAGGATATCTTGTCCTTTTATACAACATGTATTGAAGCTGGAGGTCATTGTGTTAAGTGAAATAGTCCAGATACAAAAAAGACAGATACAGCAAGTTCTTACTCACTGGTGGAACCCAAAAGGAAAGGAAAGGAATAGTGATCACTGGAGACCTGAAAAGGCATGGGAAGATGTTTAATAAAGAGAACCAGAGCACAGACGGGAGGATTCAGTCTGGTTTCCTATAGCCCAGCAGGATATCAGCTAAAATAATCTATGAAATATTTCAAAAGGACTACAAGAGAAAGATACAAAATTCCCAGCATATAGAAATAGCTAATATTTGATGAAGCAAAATGGCTTATTAACCTGATTTTATTATTAAAGATTGTATACACATATCAAATTACCTTAAAGTACCCATCAAATGCAAATAGATCTCAATAAAAAATGAAAAGATTCCTCGTTGCCACCATCTTTAACTTTCCATGGGAGAGACATGTAGAATCCCTAGAGTGGGCACGTGCCTTTCTTCAACAGCATTGGATGCATAAGGCCAAACTTATTTTAAAAATACAGAACGCTGCATAGTTTCTCTTCCATGAGAAACCCCAAATATAAATAAATTAAAGAGTAAGATAAAGGAGAAATTGTAGGAAACAGAAAGTCAGACTTTAAAGATGGAGAAGGAGATCATGGGAAGGGAGGGGTGGATGGGGGAAAGGGGACCACATGTGATCATGAAAATATCTGTATGTTTATATCATCTATATGTCTATGTATATCATATATCTATATCTAAATCTATCTATCTATCTATCTATCTATCTATATCATCAATATCTACTTTCCAATTCCTCAAAGTGAATGTAAATTTTAGGTATGGCAAATACCTGCCAATAAAAACGCATAAGGTAGAATTCACAAAAAACTTTAAGGGGAGAATCTCCTTTAGATTTAGTATGAAGATTTTAAATGGAGAATACCCAGGATTGAGGGTATCAGTTGTCTAAGTAGCAATTATTTTTCTCTTTTTTCTTCCTGGTAATTCCACCGCCTGGAAACCCATGCCCACTTCTTGCCTTCCCAGATCTCTTTTAAGCTAACAAGGCCATGAGATCTTCCAGGAATGACAGGAAGTCTGCCCAGTGACTTCTTGGAAAGAACTGTCCTCCTTTACAAAAGGAAAGTGGTGCACAGCAGAGTCTGTCCTTCCCTTTCAGCTTGCAGATGTCTGTATGGGAGGTGGAGTGACACCTGGGACTGCTGTGACCTCCTGGGATGGTGAAGAGCAGCTCTGCCAACTATAGAAGCTAGCAGAGTGGCAGGAGGAGAGCATTTGCAGGCTGGACAAGGTGAGTTGATGCTAAGCCAGCCTTGGGACCACCTGTTTCAGATTTCTTCTTTATGAAAATAAATCCTCCATGGTTTCCATCATATTAGTTCTATTACTTGCAGCCAAAAAACATTTAATTGAAAAATAAGATTAGATAATCCAGGAGGAATTCAGGCAATTTTCTGATGGCTCAGCAACTAAAAGTGCTATTTGTAAGATTTGGAAATAGCACCGAGGGAGCATGGTGGCTGATCCCCAAGCTCCTCTAAGGTTTGGCTTTCCCACTGTACTTTGTAGAGATAATGTCTAAATTTGTTCATGAATGTGAATTTCCCAAGATTCTCCAGAGCGTCTCTGATTATATACATCCAGATTTGCAATGGTGTGGACCAAGCACAAGGCTTTGGGAATGCTAGGCAGAGCTCTATCACTAAGCTACACCCAATCCCCCTCTATTGTATTCTTTAATATCACTTTTTTTGGGTGCTCCATTTATTAACATGGTAGCAGATAGGAAATGTGATTAGCACTGCTCACAAATCACAGATGTATTTACTACATATTTTCCAAGTCCCTCTCCCACCTTTGATTCCCTTCTTTTAAGTAGTGCAATAATAGCTCTTCCTCACAGGATGACTGGCAGAATAAACTGAAATAAATGCATGTAAACTACTTATCACAGTGCCTGGCAGAGAGCTAACACTCAGTAAATGCTATCAACAATTATGTATTATTTAATAGTATCCTCAGATATTGTTCAAGACGCTGGAGCGCTAATGATGAACAAATTAGATTTAGTTTCTTCATATAGGGTTTACACAGTAGTAAGTGAAATTCTGTTCATCAGTATTACCTGCGGGACTTTAAAAGAGTAGATGCCTGATTAAGGAGGTCTTGGGTGGGACTTAAATCTATTGTATTTTTAAAGAGGTCTCAGACAATTCTAATGAATACCAATGCCTTGCAATCCCTGAAGCACAAGGCAGTGAGTACCTTGAGAGGATAAATCTAAGATGCTTGGGGAACACATGGGGTGGGCTTGGGAATCTGGCTAAATAGTCATAGCACAGGGGTTGTGATCTAAAGAATAGAGGGGAGGAATGACTGGAATGTGAAATCAGTAATCAAGACCGGTGTGAGGGCAACAGCTAACCAGAAATATTTGTCATTTTGGGAAAAAAGTTAAGGAAACCTTAGATGAGCTCCCTGAGAATTTCACCATCCCCCTGGAGGAGACCATGCAAGCACAAACAGCTACCTTCTCAACTGCAAATTACAGCAACGACAATGACAAATGTTCTCTTAATAACAGCTCTTACAATAGCTTGCAATTTTCCAGGGAGATAAGGCTAAATAGGAAAGTGGCTAAATCTTGAGCTTCCTTTGAGTATGGCTTGAGAAATTGATGGAGGCTAAAACTGTGGGCCATCCCAACAGCACTGCTACTTATGGAGAGAGGACAGGAGAAACATGAGGAAGAGATGCTTTTTGTATATGCACATTGGGATGGAGGCAGATAGAAATATTTCTTTCCCAGTGATATCCACAGACTTCCTTTTTCATTTTCAGCCTCTAGGGTAATTGTTCTCCATTCAACTACACACAAGAAAAACAGAGAGCCAGAAAAAGTCCTAGTGATAAAAACCACAGAAGACCAACTGACCAGTAGTCAAGTGCAGGATGTACTGCAAGGAATACTGGATTTATGCTGTGACTCTTGGTGAATTACTGAATCTCTCTGAACTTTTCTTCAAAGGGCTGGTAGATAGATCGGGACAGCTGGTGAAGGCTCTACATTGAAGGCTAGCTTCTTTTCCTTCTTTTGAGTGGAAGAGATTCTTAGTAACAATCTAGTGCTATCCCTACACTTGAGGGAGTGACAGTCATGTGTACTGGGCATCCTGTCATGAAATCTGGTGCCCTTTTCATGTTGCTGCACCCTGGCTTCATCTTCTGCAGCTTCTACGACTGCACAGGGACTTGGGGGCTCAGCAAAGGTGGGTTATACCCTCAACAGGCTAGAAGGTCCGCCGTGCAAACTTCCACGGGTACCCATGGAATGTCAACTCATATGCAGGGCTGGTAGAAGCTTTATTTTGTTCTGGGGCTGGAAAGGGCTTCTTATTTCAGCACCCTGGACAGAGCCCCCTATTTCCCAGATGGAGATGACCGGCATACTTTGTAGAGGAAGTGTTGTTTTCTCCAGGGCATATTGGGGCAGTGGATGGCTGCCTGGGCCAGGCATTCCAGGCACGGTCTGTCAAGCATCCACCCTGCATTGGCCATTCTCAATCTGTGTGTGCTAGGGACTGTGCTAGCCCTATGTGTATCCCTAGAGGCTTCATACATGTGCCTTGTCTCCCACCAGGACTGCCAGAGCTAGAAAATGCAGCTTTGTCTCTATTTCCAGAATGCTGTCCTTAGCAGCTTGCTCTGAATCTCCTCTTATTTGATTGATTGATTCATTCAACTAATATTTATTGCCTGCTGCTCTGTACCAGACATTGCTCTCAGCAATGAGGCTACAACAGACCCTAGCTCCATGGCACTAATGTTCTAGAAGGGAAGGAATAAACTTTGAGACAGAGTAGGAGGATAAAAACAGGGCAGATGGAAATAGTTTATGTAGGCTATGTGGCCTTTTTGAGCAGGTTACCCAACTGAGGACTGAATGCACAGAGGGAACAGGATGAGCAAATTATTCCTCCACTCTAAAAAGAGAGGGTGCTGGGGGAGTGGGGAACATTCCCAGCAAAAGGTAAAGTATGGATAAAACTCTGACACAAGAGGATGCTTGATGTTTTTGGAAAAGCAAGAAGGGCTGGAGAGAAATGAGCTGGATAAAAAGGGAAGGCAGAGGCAAGAATATGTAGAATTTTATAAAGATTCACATTCAATCTAACAGTAATCATGAAAGGAGACCACCAGAAGATTTAGGGCAGGTGTGTAACATGTTTTAATTTATATTTAGAATGATAATTCTGGCTGGTATGTGGAGAATAAATGGAAGAAGGGCAGGAGAAGCAGAAGAGTTAGGAGGCAACTTTGTAGAGCTCAGTGTGGTGTTGAGCATAGAGGGTAACAATGGAGATCATAGAAGTGGCTGAATTCAGGATATTTCTGAAGGGATTTGTGGCGGGATTCATGAAGAAGGTTTAGAAGAGAAACAAAAATAGATCTTCAATATTACATATTATTTGAAGGAATGGGTGAATTATTTAAAATCTGAAAGAGATGCTTAAAAATGAGCCACATCTAACAACTGGAGCAAAATAAACAAGTTCCAATGAAGAACAAAGAATATACAGAGAAGCACTGCACAGATTGGATACAGAGAACTGCTGGCCAAGAGATGCAGCCTTAGGAGTAAGGGGTGGGTCATGTGGCCCTGAGGACCCAGTCATTCCTGCCACAAAAGCTGCCTCAGTGCCTTTCAGGTGTGTGTGTATGTGTGTGGTGTGTGTGTGTGTGTGTGTGTGTGTGTGTGTGAGTTTGGATGTGGTGGTGTAAAGAAAGCAATGAAGCCAGTTAGAAAAAAGTTAAGACAGAAGAGAACAGTTTTTACCAAGAAGAGACTTCTTCACTGAGACCTCCTGAGCTCTTGGTGACCATGAGAACTCAGAGGACTCCAGACACTCATTGCCACTCTATTCTTTGTTCATCCCTTTAGAACCCCGGGGGGCACCATGCACTGGAAGAGAAGAGAAATGGGCCTTCAGGACTGCAGCAACTCACCATGGCAACGAAGTGTGAGGAGGGAAGAGGTTAGAGAGTCAGAGGATAGTTAGGAAGCATCTTCTCTTCTGTCCCTTTGTGTACCAAAGGGAGGGAGGTAAAGGACCAGAATGGAGGATGCGGTCTATGCAGGCCTCTCCTCTTCTTTCAAGCTCTGTTTTCACTCAAAGAGACCAAGGCCCTAGGAAAACTAAAAAGAAATCTATGCCCATGATATTTGACCTGGTGCAGAAATGAGTAACGAGTGACCAAAGAAGTCTGCATGCTGAGAAGCAAGAACAGGCAAGTAGCTGCTGATGTAGGTAGGCGGGGTAGTAAGAGGAAGGATGACTGCAGCAAGGAGGCACGAAGGCAAGGAGCTGCCGCCTCGAACCTGAGTCACACAGAGACTCATTACAGTTTCTTCCGGTGCCCCCCACAGTGCCCTCCCCAGGCACTCTTAAGAAAAGACGTCTCATAAACTTTCAGCAACTCGCCTGTCGTATAAATGGCTCAGCCCTGGAACTGAGCCCGAGCCAAAGCAGCACACCATACCCTCCCTCCATCAGACAAGCCTCTTTGGTGTGTGAGAGAGGAATAATTATAACCTGCAAATCCCGATGACACTCCTAACACCCCAATCTATATTTAATAACAGCAAAGAGCACTAGCATTAACAGCTATTAGGCCATTTGTTAGTGCAGGGAGGCTTTGCCTCTTTCTTTGCAGCAATAAAACATAATAAAAATATAAAAAGAAAGCTTTGTGGATTTTAGAGTGATTTCCCCCTAAGAGGCGCTTCGAGCATTTAAACTATCAGGTGACAGCTGGGGAGGTTTGTGCAAATCTTCAAATCCCAAAGTGAAATCAAACAGATAAAACTCCAAGAACAGTAAGCCTGGTCTCCCGAGGTTTCTAGAAACAGCAATGGCAGGCGCCATGGAAGGAACACAGTATCTTTTCTGTATTTCAAACCTTTGATTTTACTGTCTGAATGTCAGCACTCACTTTATTTCCTACTTAGTCCTCAAACCTCATAGCTCCTTTTCCCGATTGTGGCCATTTGTCTAGTTCTGGCTCTTCCCGTATCTGTCCTGGAGGGTGACCCAACCCTCTTCCTGGTTCTCACCTCCATCCAATTTCATCCGATCCATGTTCCCCAAGGCCACCAGTGCCCCAGCTCACTCCATGCCCCTCCTGGTGCTAAATCTCCTTCATTTACAAGATGAAGGAATAACTGCTCAGGATAGGAGGCCTCCATGTGGGCTTGCTTGAGCTTTCAAATCTTGACTCCCTGATGCACTGCTGTATGCTAGAGAGTCTGCAGAGCTTTTAGCTGCCCACACATCATGTGGATGACATTCAAGTCATCCTTTCTGCCTAAAATCCCTTCCCTCCCCTGGCTTCTCCCTAAGCCCCTTTGCCTGAATAAATACTGCTCAGTTCTCCCTCCCATGTGACCACACATCATTCTGCTTGGATCATGTGACTCCACAGATATCCTTTGACTCATAAAGGGGTTGCAACCTGATAAATGATTATAAGCTGAAGATACTGTAAGTTGAAAATGCATTTAATGCACCCAGTCTACTGCAACATCCTAAAGTCAGAGGGTCACAGGTGGAACTATCATAAGTCAGTGACCATCTCTACTCACACAAGGTCTCATAGTCTAATCTCAGGTAATCCTCTTAAAAAGTGTCTTGAGATCATTGCTGTCCTGCCTCATTTCCTGGGCTTAGCCTTCCATTAACACAGTTCTGTGTACAACTGCAGATTGTGTGCTGTCTACACTGCTTGTCTGATGACTGATTTCCTGGCATGTCTTACACTGTTGCTATTCATTTTTGATGTGTTGATGGCACTGTCACTCCCACTGAGAATTATGCTTCCCAAGGACAGGCGCCTCTGATTCCCCACAGCACAGTGCCTGGCACATACTAATAGTGAATATTTCTTCTTCTAGAGTAGTTGCATGGGATGGTTTCTAGCCTGAGCGCACGTGCCTACCCAGCTTAAAATCTTCGCATTTTTTAACCAGAATAGATGATTATGGAAAGGTTATTTAACTGCTCTTAGCCACAGTTTTCTTTTGGGTCAAATGGGGAGAACAATAGCACCTATTTTAAAGGGTTTCCCAGAGCATCAGATGGTAGGCAAAGTGATTACATGGAAGAAGTCAATATAAGAAAAAGATTATTTCAGTGTGTTAATTGATGCAAATACACTGCGGAAGTCATGCTTCTCAGCTTTTTAAATAATTCTCAGTTCTCAGCAGCCTCCTAGCCTTCCTCACCTGGCACTTCCTGTATTTGGCTTCCTCTTCAGCGCTCTCTTTGGAGCATCCTTTAACTGCTTCCTCTGCTTCCAGCCCCTTCTCAGTTTTTCTGGACCTTCAAACCCTTCACCCGGTGACCCTACTAATGCATTAAATGAACTGCATTCCTCTACTGGAACAGCACTTTGTATCCCTTCTTCTCCTGCCTTCCTTCTGTCCCAGTGGCAGGATGGATGGCCGTGTTCAAGCTAAGACCACAAGTGGGGCTGTGTGGATTTTTTTTTTATGTGGATTGCTGGGATAATCTTAGAGGGAAGCCCTATAGTCTGAAATTTCCTCTCATGGGCTCTCTCTACCAAGTTTTACTTGAATGATTCAGTTAGTGCCTTAATTTCTCTGGAGCAGTTAGTTCACTGGTCAGTAAACCATTTGCTTTTAGGGGAAAAAAATCTCAAAGCACAGAGTAAAGAAAAATGTTGATTAAGCATCACTCTTGGCACAAAGGATTTTGGGTTGGAGAGAGTCTAGTTGACTTTGTAAATGCAAAGCATACATCACGTACCTGGGAAACTGAGAAGTAACAACCTCACATGTTATTCTCTCAGGAGTTAAGAGGTTGGGGAGTAACAGCACTTTCCTCCAGTTTCCACTTACCTCTGCAAAAACAAAGGGCGCATCAAACTGGAAGCACACATGGCCGTGCTTGATGGCTTGGACAGAGGCAGGGCCACACCGGTACATGCCTGCGTCATGCAGAGGAAGACACATGAGTTGGTTGTCTCCACTTTTATCAGAAAATGAATGGTTCTTAGCACTGAGTGTGACTTTACAGAGACCGGTTTTCCTCGACTTCATCGCTGATTTTGTCCGCTTACGTTCCACGGCCAGGGGCAGCAGATAGCCCATACATATAATCAAAAGGGCTGCATTAGAAATAGTAGCCTAACCAAAATTTGAAGTCAGGAAAGAATGTGGGACTACACTCTTCCTGCACCTATTCTGAAACGTTACCAACATCCCCACGTGTGTCTGTGCGAGGATGTTGGCTTCTACAACCTTTTCTTTTGGTTCCTGAGATGTAAGAAACATTGCTGCTTTTGTGTTTCTGCTGTTTGCTTTGATTTTTGTTTTTGTACATCACAGACATATATCCAGTTTAGAATATGGACATTAACCACACACATTGGTCAATGCCCAACATTCAGGAGGTCACCGGGATCACACTGACTTTTCTCATTCTTCAAATCTTAACCACGTTTCCTTACTTTATAAAAGATTAGCTGCCATTTGTGCCCTTTGAAATTGTCTCAGATATTCAGGTTAGAACACTAGAAAGTGTTAAAATTTCTTCCTTAAATCCAGTTTTGTAAGCGGTTCCATTATGAATATGTACTAAATATTTATGCATGCATGTGTAGGGATACCCATAACTATCTCATATCAACATGTGGGGAAATAGACATAAATAAGCATCATGTCCCCAGCCCACTAATTTTCTATATCATCATGTTAGAGAGAAATGGAAGCTTAGGATATTATTCTATAAAAATGACCTGAGTGGGTCATAGCTGCCACTGCTTAGCGGAGTTTGCAAGTTAGAAGACAAATGCCCGCGTACTTAAGTTTTGAAAGTAGTCACACAACATAAAGGAAAATCAGGTTCTGGAAGAACAACAATCTAAAGAATGATCTATAATTATGTTTTAAATTCTATATTTTCTCTCTTGTCTTATATCTTCTCATTGTGGACCAAGAGGGCTGGTTATATTTTATAGCCTAGTGAAAATGCTTACACAGATATTTTTTCCCCTTCTCTTCAAAACTGCTTATCAAAGCAAGAGTAGATGAATTATATATGTGAAGCTTTATATTCTTTTTCTAAAAGTTGTAAAATAATCAGGATAAAGCTGACTATGAAAATGAGATTAGACCTGATTGACAGGTGGTTAATCCATGCATAGGCCCAGAAAGGACACCTCTGACACTTGCCCACATATCAAGTGCAAACATAAAAGAGAGATAAACAGTGGAAAAATATCCCCACGGATGATGCAGTTTACCGTCGCTGTTTTCCTGGGGGGTGCTGTCCACAACTTGCCAGCCTCCAAATCCAACAGGAAGATCCGGCCTCGTCATCCAAGCTTCATTCCAGCAGTGGTAGTTCCTTTGCAAACACAAGCCCAAACAGGTGAAACTTCTTATCACATTCAGTGCCCCAGGACATAGAAAAGAGACTTTGAATCCTATGCTAGTAAACTTTCAATTATTGCAATGGATGAAGCTAGGTCTAGTGGCTCCTGGGGACTACCTGGAACTCCAGACCTGAGTGTCATGGGACAGTCCATTCCCCCTGGCAACCTCTGGGGCCCGCATGCTTCTTTCTTTCTGCCAAGATCACTTTCCAGGTCACCCAGACATATTTTAGTCAGTATGTTAAACAATTTGATTTTAACCAACCTCAGCTGCCTAACCAAAGAGAACTTATTAGGTACTCAAAGAGTAGAAAAGAAAAATTATTCAAAACCAAAATATTTATCTCATTTCTTTTACATAGGTCTGATTTATAGAATCATATCCCATTGGAACAATTAAGCAGCACATACTTGGGTTTATGGTCTTAGGCCATTGCCAAAGAAACTATAACATTAACTCCTGATTATAATTCTGTATAATTTGTGGCGATTTCCGTCTTGTGTTCAAGAAGAAGAAAGGGTCATTGGGTGTGTATCTCTTCACCCTTCACCAAAGGTGGGCAACCCTTGAGGTAAGGGCCATGTAAAACTTCCCAGAACTTTCTATACGACCCCTGAATCAAGAGCATGGAATAAAATGTCATCATGAATTGTATTATTATGTCCTTGGAAAGACCTGAAATTATGTGGCGGTACAGAATCAAACGAGAATACATTAACCCCTCCACAGTATAGAAAATGTTCATATAGTAATAACCATTTAACGATGGGGTGAAGTAGTTACAGCAGTCTTTGTTTATAGCACCGATGAATTTCAGATCCAACCGCCATCCATCCTTTCCCTAAATGTCCCACAGTGTCAGTAATTTGTGCATGTTCCTATCTCTCTCTGAAAGTAGCCCATTTCTCACTGGTGCACTTAAGAGATATTAATTTAACTATGTACCCACTATGCACTGGGCATCTCACTAAGTGCTAGAGATTCAAAGTCAATCAGGACATAGGTTCCACCCATAAAATGCCTCATAACCTAGAAGGAATGGCAAAGACAGTCCCTACCGATTAATACAGGTGGAGAGCTAGCTGGAAAGGTTGCATGTGGTGACTAGAACAGAGTTGGCATGTGGTAAATATTCACAAAGAGTCACTCTAAGATTTAGGAAAATAGCCCTGCTAAAATGACATTCATGGGGTGCCATGGAGTCTCAGTGGGGGACCATCTCAGGGTCTCAGGAAGACTTTCCAGAAAAGCAGTGTTGTGCTGATTCCTGGGAAATGAAGAAGAGTTAAGCAGGTTGATAAAGGGAGTAAAACTGAAATAGTGCAGGCCTGGTATTACCACCCTGGTGTGTTTGGGCAACTGTATGCTGTTGTCTCTGCTGGAGGGTAGCATGTTCATATATTTGCAGGCATGAGAGAAAAAGAGTGACCACAGGTGAGGGTGGGCATGCAGTGTGCACAGCTAAAAAATGCATTCAATAGTCTCATGTGCCAGGTGCTGTTCTAAAATGTGTAGGGATATTAGCACGTCGGATGTTCCCTGCACCCTGTAAATTCTATTACAATTATCCCTAGTTCACAAGGGAGAAAGCTGAAGCCCAGCGAGGGTAAGAACCTTGCCTTAGGTCACACAGGTCCTTCACGGGGGAGCTCTGTGATCTGTGCTCTTTAACAGTGAGCTATTATAGAAGTGAGGCTAGGATGGTGAGAAGATTTTATGTCACCTTAATATTTGTGCTTTATTTTCACCCAACCAGAAACTACTGAAATAATTCAAGAAGGAGAGTTAGATCTGCAAATTTGGGTTCGTGGGAAGTGGGTGGAGAAGACAGACTGGAGATGGAGCTGAGTCCTTCCTTCGAGTCCTTCCACCCTGTCCCACTCTGAAATAGTACAATAATGCAAAACTAAAGAGGTGACTGGCACCATGGACAGGAATCAGAGCCACTGGAAGGAAAAACCAGAGGGCTTGTGGGGTCTGAAGAATCTGGACGAGCCAAAGGAGCCTTTTGAGTCTGCAAGGAGCATAATGGTTTTGCCATCAAGATTCTGGACAAGGCAGAAGAAAGTTTTTGTTGAACGTAGTAGGGACGGGTGAGTGACCAGTTCAATTTTTGACATGATGGATCTGTGTGCCTGTGGGAAATCCAGGAGATGAGGCCCGAGAGGCATTTTTGTACATATATAAAATGTCTGGATGTTGTAAGGAGGTCGCTGGAGTCCTTATGGGTGGTGGAGTATGGGGCAAATCCATTGGGTTGGGAAGGGGAGGGAGATGGTACAGGTTCTTCTGTAAGAGAGTTCTCAATTGTGAAAGGAATAGGAAAGGATGGGGTGGTGGCTAGCACATCATAAAATGCGAGGAAAACTGTCTCGATTCTTTTGAATTAGGGGAGACTGAGCCATGCTTGTGGAGGTGAGGAAGTGAGAGGCTTATGTACCAAGGATGCAAGAGGATGAGGTCAAAAGTAGCTTCCTGGTAGGCGTGGGAAGTGAGTTAGAGTCTGCAGGTTGAGGCGAAGCATGTTCAGGTGCTCACTGTGGTCAGGGTCAAGGTATGGAGGTCTCTAAGCAGAAGCAGGAGACTGGTTCCCACCAAACTGCCTCTGTCTCTGCTCCAAGGCTAGAGAGAAGGTCCTGTGGGTGTCCACGCCTTTGCTAGCCCCCTTCAGAACAGCAAAGAGTGACTCATCAGACAGGAGGATCCAGAGGAAGACAACAATCAAACATCTGCAGTCCTGAGTGGACACCGTCCTCTTCCTGAACGACCTAGTGCTTAGCGACCCTGACTTTCTCTGTCACCCCATCACCTTAGATTAATAGGCTCCAGAGCATCCGTATTTAAATTCAAATCTCCTTGGCAAGGTTAGCCTGCAACAGGAGAAATAGCTTTGCACTTCAGATAGCAGTAAAGACTTTGCTTTGAAGATAATATTTCTTTTCAAATGACTGGGAAATGTGGGAAATTTCTTTACTCTCACTCTGAGACTTAATTAGTTAAGCAAGAGCTCTCTCACAGTTGCACATATGACTGAGGTGATACCTTCCATTGAGGATAGGAGGGTCAAGCATTTGCAGGCAGTGGTTGAGGTGCAGGGGAAGTGGCCAGTCCCAGTGTTGTTGATTCCCTCGATGTGTGGAAGCCAAGGGCTCTTAGGTTGGCCAGGGAAATATCATGAGGACCTATTTTCGGTAGATGTAACTCTGTGTAGACAGATTTGTCTGTTATACCCAAAGGTCTCCATGGAAGGAGCTATTGTTATTCAAACTATTTTGTTTTGGTTTTGTTTAAAACATTTGTATGGTTTACAGAGATATCTGATGGAAAGGGAGGAATATATTTGGCCATTATCAAATATTTAGCATTTTTGATAAAATTCACATGCATTTCAGAGGATCTGCATTTCCATATATTATAACGTCCCTTTGGCTTAAGAAGCTTCCTTAACATTTCATTAAAAAATTTTAAATTGGCAACTAAAAATAATAAATAATAAAAATATGTATGAACTTTTGGAATACAATGACCTATTTTGATATATGTACCCATTGTGGAAGGATGACAATAAGTCAACTAACAAGGATTTCAATAAGTCAACTAACAAGTCAGTCACCTTGCTTGTCATTTTTTTTGCTGAGTACACTTGAAGTTTACTGTCATAGCAATTTTGAAACACAATCTTTGTGTTTTAATCTTGGAATTTTGTCATGCATTTGTAGAGAGCATGAATCTACTTCTGAGGCTTTATTTGTCTTGTTCACTCCCATATTTTCTGCACTGGAACTAAGCCTGCCCTGAAGAGGTGCCAAGTACAGGAACTCTTGTACCCACAAGGGAAACACTGCAAGGCCACAGCGTTTGCATGAAACCACAGATAGTGGCAAACCCTCTGGTTACTATGTTTATTACTACACACACTTACCTATGATAAGGTTTAATTTATAGATCAGGCACAGCAGAAGATGAACAGTAACAAATATCAAAATAGTACAAGTATAATAATATACTGTAATAAAAATTTGTGTGAATGTGGTCTTGTTCCTTCCCCAACCCAGGTTACTTGGACACAAGTGTTGTGAGGCTACCACCACAGTCATTGTGTTAATCATGCCAGTTACTAACTGACTAAACAGCAGGTAGCATATACACAGTGGATACTCTGGATAAAGGGATGATCCAATTCCAGGTAAAATGGAGCAGAATAGCATGACATTTTGTCCTGCTATCAAAGGAATGTGCAATTTTCAAAATTATGACTTCATTTATAGAATTTCCCACTTCACATTTTCATACCATCTTAACTGAAAGCATGGGAAGTGAAATTGCAGATAGGGGGCACTACTGTATTGGAAGAGCTAGAAGGCATCTCCTAACAAGGCATGTGTTATTAAATATTGGTTAGTTTTCTTGTTTTTAAGAGTCAGAGCTTAATATTTTCTCAGTGCCTTCATTTGGAACTTGAACTCTTACTATAGTTTCAAAATGTTCACTATTCCTCTAATATTAAAAAGTTATAAATGTCTAAAGTGATCCAGTTTCTTTGTTGCTTCTTTATAAAAGAGTGCAGGAATTAAAATAAGAATCTCATTTCATTAAGTATTATTTAATCAATATGAAAAAATTGGGAAAGGGCAGAAAATGATAGAGTTGACAAGTTAAGATCACACCTGTGCTTTACGGTATTTCTCTATGTTTCATCAGTAGCAGTTAGTAACTTTTAGGAGTCTTTTCAAGGATGCTAATAAATTAGTAGTATTGGTAGAGAGGACCCAGAGGACTTTTCACTAGAGGCAAGGGCTTTACTAGAAAACCTGCACAAACTCCTGGGGGCTCCTATGTAGGCTGTCATTGCACTACTTTTAGTTTTTCTTTTGTTTCAGTAAACCAATTTGCTTCATATTTGCAAACAGAAGTTATCCACAAACCAAAGACAAGTGGCTAGGATGTTCATTCTGCTGTAATTTATAGGAA